CAGGGCCATTAAGACCTGTTGGTGTAATCAGGACCATAATAGTCCCTACCTGTGTCAGTGAGGTCTTTAAGGAGCAGAAATATTTGACTATTCAGTGAAGGAGTTGGCAAATACTGTAGTACCAAGTTTCTCAAGCTGAGCTGTCAGCTCACATGTGGGGAGGAGGTATGCACTTAGCACACTCTGGAACAAATTAATAGGACTTACTGCACAAATGCAGTAGACTTGAAGCAGCCATAAACATCAGGCTGGTGCACAGAGCATTAGCTGCTCTCTTTATAGACACAGTGTTTACTGCCAAACTGCATTTGTTGGCCAGGCACAGCAGTTATTCTGCTCTCATGCACTAGATTTGTGCAAGGGCTTTGTTGTGGTCTGTTACACATCTTTATCTCTAGGTTGGAGAGGTATGGATTTGAGGGCTGGACTATTCAGTAGATAAAGAATTGGTTGGACAGTGTATAATCAACAGATATTCAGAGTGGTTAGGCTGGTATCTACAGAGCATATAGCTGGAAAGTTCATCATGGTGGAAAGGGATAATTTTTGTTTAGCTTGGACAAGAGTAGACTCTGGGAAGGCCTCAATCCAGCCTTCCAGTACTTGAAGGGAGCTTATAAGCAAGAAGCGGAGTGACTGTTTGCACAGATAGTGCTAGGACAAGGGGGGATGGCTTTAAAATAAAGGAGAGTAAATTTTGGTTAAACGTTAGGAAGAAATACTTTACTCAGAGGGTGGTGAGGCAGTAGAGAAGGCTGCCCAGAGGAGTTGTGGATGCCCCATCCGTAGGGAGGGATCAAGGCCAGGTTGGATGGGACCACGTGCAGCCTGATCTAGTGGTTGGCAACCCTGACCGTTGTTAGGGGGTTGGGGTCTGATGGTCTTTAAGGGCTCTTCTAATCAAAGCCATTCTGTAATTATATTCTCATGGACAGTCATGCAGTGAAACAAGGCCCAAGATTTCCCAAGGAAAGTGAAAATAGGGGCAAGCTACTGCCCTAGAGAGGGCATTTCATCTGACTTACAGCCTACTCTCAAGTTGTCATTTTCAAAGGCACATGGAAAGCTTGGGCCATAGCTAGAAAACTTGTTTGCTATGTGTCATCTGTCAGCTGCAGGGCAAGAATATCCAATCAAAAATATTTAGATTAGATTCAATGGATCTGAATATAAGTGAGGCAGAAGAGGAAATCACAGTCTTACAAAATAGTATTAATGCTTAAACTAACTGTATTCAGCATGCTTCCAGATCTTAACTCACTTTCCAGTGCCTATCTCGCAGGTAGATACAATCTACAGAACTGAGGCCAAGAAAGACTAAATGAGGAAGTCATTGTCAAAACCACAATTAGAATTAAAGAGTTTCTGCATTAAACACACGCTATTCAAGACTTCTCTTTCAGATATTGCCAACTGACAGTTCTGCAGGTGATTTATCTGTATTGCAGATACAAAGACTTTAAAAGTGTTTGGCTTGTGCTCAGCTGGGCTTGCAGGCACAGCACCACATCAGCACGGCGTATGGCTTTCAAGGACAAGTCTGGTCTGCAAGCAGGCCAACTGCCTTCTCTCACCGCAAAGCCAGTAAATATGAGAAAGCCTTTGCAAGGTAGATGCTTTAATCTATGCTTTGTGATTGAACAAGGAACTGGTTCTTATGTCTCAGCATAATATTTCCATTGTAATCGTTTGGCCCCAAAAGCCAACATAGACCTGGAAAAATCCAATCTTTCCCCTGCAGAGCAGTGGTATAATTCCTAGGGCTTTCAGTTTGTGAAAGGCTTAACTAAGGTTTGACATCAGGCAAATCTAGCCCCTCCTCATGGGATTGATAGCATATGATCGGAGATCTGATCTGGATGACTCCACAGGAGTGATTTAGGGCCAACATCCCTGATTTCAGTGTCAGAGAACTAACAGGCCTTCATGGCCCTGATCAGCTGTGCTTGGGGTCTCTGCACGTGCTCTGTCCATGGACACAGGACTTCTATTTAAGTTCATACTTGGAAGAGCTATGGAACCAGTTGATCTGGATTTTGATGGCAGTCTTTTTTGGCTACTCTGGGCTCTGTCCAGCATTCACTTAGATTATGTCATGTATTGTTTTCTCCTTGGATCCCTAGATCTGATTACAACCCGTAGGCTGACTTCTTGGTTTGGCCTCAGGTCTGTCCCATCACCTGCAATTTCAGCATCCAGCAGGACCCCTGGATTTACCTGCTATCCTCAGACCTATCCTGTTTCCCTTGTGTGGGCACAGCAGGACCAGGTGCTGGCCAGCATGGTCCTTGCCCTGCTGGTTGTGTGACTGTGCTCGTCTCCCTGCTCCTCAGGGAGCAGCTGCCTTGTGTGGCTCCCTGATGCTCAGTGCAGACTTCTTGTGCTACAGATGGCAGCAATGTGTAGCTACTAAAGGCTTATGCATTTTATTCTTCAATACTTCAATGTCCAGTTGTACCTGTTTTGCAGGTATCATTCTGATATTCCTTTGGATAAAAGCACAGATATGGTAGTCCTGTGTTAGGCTGAGAATCTGCTTGTGACAGTCAGCAGCATATCTCTGGAAGAAAGCTGTAGTAGATACGGAGCTATTATTTAAAGAGACTCTTCTACCTTCCAGTAATACATAGCTAAAATGGCCCTCTTCCATTAAGTAGATTTTGATTCAACACTTTCCCATTACTGTTGTCTTGAAAAAACTTTTCAGTGTCTGTAATGTTGTGTAGCAGTGAGTTCTATGGTTTAACAGTGCACTCTATAAAAAAGTAGATGTCTTCTGATATTTGATACGTTGTCTTGATATCCTGTGCTTCAGAGAAGCAGTGATCACTGTTAATACTTTCTATGCTGCTTTGTTTATATAGCATATTGTTTGACATTTAACCTCGGAGAGTTTCGCTATTCCTTACACTGTTGGTGCCCTTATCACTCCTGTGCCTTTTCAGGTTGTACTTTACCCCTTTTAAGCTATGTAGATGAGAACTGCACAATATATTCAATAGTAATGCTCCCTCTTCTTTTCTCTCCTCCTTTTTCTAATGATTCCTGACACTACTGAGCACACTTAAGAGTATTACAGAGCTATCTGTAATAGAACCAGGATCTCTATTTTGAGTTGAAGTGGCTAATTCAGAGTTTCCATCTTTCCCCCATGCGCTTCACTTTGCATTTGAGCAAAAGAATTTCATCCACCATTCATGTTGCTCAGCCAGTGATTACTGTGCAATCTTTCTACAGACCTTTATATTCAGCTTTTATTGTAGTAGGCTTAGCACTGCCGGATAGGATCGTTCCTTTCTGCTGCTCACCTTCCAGCTTGTTGGCATTGAAGACCACAAGCATCTATGTTTGTATTGGTGAAAGTGAACAACTGATAGTTCTGATTTGTTTCCTTGATTTTAGCAGAGTTTTGAATAGAGCAGTGGCAGTATGCAGTGGTTTGTTTGCTCCTGTTATATTTTATGTTCTAGTCAAGCCTTTGCCATCTTGCTGCTTTTTTTCTGAGTTACTCATTTCTCACCTTTATGTTCAAGCCCACAACTTGCAGTGTATTCCCACCTTCCCAAGAACCATGCTCTGCGCTTATGTGTGGTTTTACCATCAAGATCCAGTTCTCTTCCACTTATGCCATGTGCAGCACTTGGACAGCAATAGTTTTTACTTCTCAAATCATGTATTTGTGGTTCTTGTTCTTTTTAGCAGGGCAGGCCTTCAGCACGACAGAGTCCTCCATATCCAGCAATGCACTCAAGCAATCTCTGGTTGCAGCCAGAGCAGAGAACCCCTGCACTCAGTTTAAGTTAGCAGCCAGAGGAGGCTGACCGGGCAAATATGAAATTCAGGCATATATGAGTTTGCTTTATTATATCTGAAGTATCTGCGAGCTTGGATATGATTCCCAAGTATTCCTTTTTGACTGCAAGGAAAGGAAGGGGAGGAGAGCGGAGGATGAGGTGACAGACCAGTGATGGGTTACCCATCACTGAGCGACTGCCCACAGGAGCCGGCAGTGACAATAAGCTGCTGTCTGTGCTGCTGCCTCCTTTCTTGTGTGCAAATGAAAATAGCTAACGAAATGCGAGCGTTTAGAACATCCTTGTGGGAACGGAGATGGGCAGTGCTGCTGCTCTCATACATAGCCGAAAAGCCTCCCTGCAGACTTGCATCTGAATGGCTTGCTTCGCATTTTAAGTGCTTTATAGCAAGCAGCAAGGGATTTAATAATGACGCTTTAAAAAAACCGTGCTGCTAGGGTGTATTGTTTCATAGATCCATTTCCAACATCTGTTCTCTGAAGGGACATCTGAGGGGACAGCGGATCGGCAGCAGCTTTGCGCCCTGACAAAAGGCTGCCGTGATAACGACCCAGGAGAAGGACGAGTGGTCCAGCCTTGATATTAAAGCATACTGCTCGCCCCTTCCTTCGGAAAGGAGCACCGAAAATCATGGATGGCTTTTAATGGAAGGGGTGGAGGTGGGGAGAGCAGGGCACGGTTTCCCCTCGCAGAAGGCCGTTTTCTCGCTCTTCGGTGCGCTGCCTCACGGCCCTTCGGCCACGAGCGGAGGACGGAGAGAAGCTCCCTCTTCCAGCCGAAACAAGAGCAAAAAGGTGATTTCTGTGTCACCTCCTCAGCTGGAGAGCTCCAGGCGGAACGGACCACCCGCCTCCCTTCCACTGCCTCGGGCCCGCTCCCTCTCAAGCACTCCTGGGGCGGCGGGAGAGCAGGAGCCGCTCCCCCGGCCCCGAGCCCGCCCCGGGGTGCGCGGCGCTGCCGTCTGCCTCCCGCTGCCCGGGGGCGGGCGGGGAATCCCGCTCCTGCCGCGGGGATCCAGGGCGCGTTTTGCCGCCTGCCGAGAGGGCTCGGTGCGGCGAGCGCCCCGCCGAGCCGCCCCCTCCCCGCTCCCTCCCGGAGGGTCCGGCCAGGGGCGACGCCGAGAGCACGTTTCGCGGCCCGGCGCCACCGAGGCTCCGTCTGCCGCGCTGGGCTCACCGCGCCATGGGGACAGGCAGCGAGGCGTGAGCATGACCCGCTCCGAGCCCAGCCCAGCCATGCCCGCGTCGCCCTTTCCTGTTAGCCGTGGTACGTACGTGGGACGACGCGTTGCTTTCTCCTTTTCCCTTTCCCCCCCTCCCCCCCCAGCCCACACACTTTCTATTCTTTGCAATACTCCCTTCTCTCCCGGCCCGGTGTGGAACCGAGGCGGGGAGGGGAGGCCGCTGCCGGCCTGGGGGGAGGACGAGTCCGGTCTGCGCCGGAGCCTTCCTGGAAACGGACAGACGGAGGGCGAGCGGGGCACCTAGCCCGGGGAGCCGGGACCCTCAGCCACTCCCGCAAAACGGCAGGGGAGCGGGGACGCGCTGCGTTCTCCTCCTCCGAGGGTGCCGCATCCCCTCGGCGAGCCCCGGGCTGCGGCGGGAGCGGCCCCAGTTTCGGCCCCTTTGTCTGCCCCCTGCAGCCCCGCTGCGGGCCGTGGGGCCACGAGGAGCCTCGGCGGGCCTGCCCCTGCCCTGCCCTGCCCGGCCTCTGCCCGCTCCCGCAGCGGGCGGCGGTGCCGCGCACAGCCACGCGTGGCCAGGGCGGTGCAGCCTCAGGGTCCGGCCGGAGCCCTTCTTGCAGCAGCGAGGAAACGTGCACTCGCAGAACTGGGTAGCTAGAGCTCCCAGTGACCGAGAAGGCTTACGGGGTAAAGGTGTCTCTTTAAATTTTAGAGGGGGATCTTTTAAAAATAATTTTGAAAAATCATCCGAGTAATGGCTCTTCCTTGCAGTGCTCCGTGCTCTTTTTAAGGCACTTTCGTGGAGAGGCAGAGGGCTGTACCACGCAGTAATCACCTTGTTTTCATTAATGTCAGTCAACGCAAATTAAGCGTGGAGATGGAATCCAGAAAGCGTGGCGTTGGCTATGGGGCTGGGCGGCAGCCCGGTGCCCGGCTGGGAGAAAGCGAGGCTCTGCCCCCGAGCGGTGCTTCCTCCGGCAGTGCAAGGGTGGGAGCCAGGCGGCTGCCGGCTGGAGGGGGCCCGGGGACAGCGGGCAGGGCCGGGCTGCACTCAGCAGGTAATCGGGGAGGAATTCGTGGCGAGCACCGAGGAGCTCGCTGATATCAGGGACTTCTGTAGAAACTTCTCTGGGTAGTAATTCCCAATCGCCACTGATGGTATTTTGTCGTGGCTGTCGTGCAACCCGTGGTTGCTGAAGCTGGTCTAAGCATCTCCCTCCTGCTTTCAATTACTTACATTTCAGAACACCTTTCAGGCTGAAAATTTCCAAGCTTAATCTTTGCCTGAAGGTTCTCTCCTCCACCTCCCCCTTCTTTTAATTGAGTTTGAGATAAGGTGATCCAGTTAGGGTTGTTTTTAAAGGTAAAGTCTTCAAGGAAGGGAGTCAAACATTGTCAGAAAGAAAGGCACTGTTTAAAGCACCAGAAAAGTATATTTAAGGGGGGAATGTGATTAGCTTAGGGGTTTTTACTTGCTATTTTTATTTAGTAAGTACCTGGAGCTGCATGGTGGCAGGGGTTTGATTTGATGAGTCTCGAAAACTTAATTAAATCTTTTTACTTATTTGCATTTCTCCCCATTAAGGTCAGTGTTGGGCTGCGCAGAACAGGTTAAAGTGGAGGCACGCTCCTGCCTGGCTCCAAGGAGTGATGCTCACACATGTGGCGTGAGCCTTCACAATGGATTTCTGCTGCCAATAGTTTGCTTGAGGTTTAATCTGGTTTTGTGGTTTCAGCATGCATGATTCCTTGCAACTGGTTTTTTTTTGGTGGTGTTTTCCCCCTGATTCACTCACTGAGCAGGTTTCAAAAGTTTATACTGAAGTCATTACGCTGCAATATTCTAGATACCCTCACTTCCTGCTGAATTCAGTGAGCCAGAGTGCATGCTTCACTGCAGCCCTCTGCTCCCCCTGCAGTGGGGGAAGTAGGACTTGGGGGCAGTCCTGCTTAAGTCATGTGGCACCTACTGCCCCTAGAGCAGAGGTGGGATTCTGAAGCCAGGAGAGACAAAAAGTAGAATGAAGCAAAGGTCTTGGTGCACAACCTACTGAACATGTGCAGGAAAAGGGTTTTGCTTTCAAGATGCGTCCTGCAGTGCCTGCCCCAGGTTTGCTGTTAAACTGCTGGAAAGTGTTGTTTTAAGTCGAAGTTTTACGTATGTGGATAAAATATGTCCATTTTGCTCAAGAGTGGTAACGATCCTGGAAAGCAAGGTGGCAAGTGTATGCACAGTAAAACAGAAAGCAGCTCCTGAAGGGTGTATGAGGCTGCAGCTCTGTTTGAAGCAGTGTTTCTGCAGGAGAGCTCCGAGAGGCTGCGTGGCGGTGAGCAGCAGGCAGTGGGCTGTGCTGCCAAGGGAGAGCCTCTGCGAGAGCGTGCATGAAACAGTTCCTGGTCCTGAGTTTCGTTTTTATTTCTTAACCAAAACCAAATGGATACTCAAGGATTAAAGAAGGGGGAGGGTAAATTAAAGCTAATTCCCTCCTCTTAACCCATTTCCCTTCTTTTCATATACAAAGTGTTGTATAAAACAGTCAGTAGATACAGAGAATGGAGCAAGATTGAAAAGCGGGCTGACTTTAGTACAGCTGGGAAGGACATCTAGATGATAGGATACAGTTCCAAGAGGGCTGAAAAAAGATTTCGTGCATTGCATAGGGTCAGCTTTTCTAGTTTCTGTCTTCCAGTGTCTGTTGTGTCTTCCTTTTAGAACACTTGCTGCTGGTAATGAGATGCTTCTCCATTCAAAAATGTAGATAAGACGTTGTATGACAACTTCTAAGTGAAATGGTGACCCCTATTGCTTGGGACCTGTGTATTGTTATTTAAAAAGGCTTTCATGAAAGTTCCTAGGTCTTGTTCCCCCACCGGCCTAATCTCAAGTAATTTTTAAAAAGACATTTAAACACTGAAACAAAGTGCATTAAATTGGTTCATTCTGGCTGTAGTGAAACCAGGCTCAGCTAGTCCAAGCTGTGTGATTTTTCCCATACAGTTGTGTTTTTTTCAAGGGTCACTTACTTTCTTTTCTGATGTCAGATAAAGCCTGCCACCATTTTATGAAAACTCATTTTTAAGTTTTGCACCTAGTTATGAAACAGGATCTTAATGAATGAAAAGGAAAATTCCTTTCTTTTTATTATTCTGTGCAAAGAAAATGGAAGTAAGAGAAGCATTTTAAAAAATATATTTTTATTGTTTTTCCTGGAGGCATTCCATAGGGTTAAATCCCCCCCACTGCCTTGCAGGCAATATTCTCATTATAACTGTCTATAATTTTGACCTAGTTGGGACTAAAAGATTTAGCTCTTGATTAGCTTTTTAGCAGTATTTGCTGAGGATTATAGCAGTCAGTGGGATTGCTCCAGCTTTATTACTGAAAGCAAAACTTAAGATACTGGCCTTACAGCCAGCTTTTGGTTTTGCACATGAGTTAAAAGAGAAATCGGCTCAAGTCACAATCAGCTTCAGGATGCACTATTACTGTCTGGGGCAGTTCTCTGCTAACCCTCCTGTACTTATTACCCACATTACTTTATAGGGACTGTCCTGACTGACTCTGCTCTCAGGAAGGGACTGAGGGGGGAGGGGTCCCATCTGACTTGGAATTCAGAAGAGACCACTGAAGTCAGTTTTCCTCTCCAGGATGATGAGAACTTACAAGTTATTGTGTTAAGCCATTAGATTTGTATTTGATAATCCTGCAATTGACATGGGTGTTTTGGTAATAGGATTTCTTGGTTTGAAATGTGACTGTCCCGAAGAAGTTACATGAGGCAATTTGCAACTCCTGCAGGCATCAACACGACAGCACTGCCTGCCATTTACATGGAAAAGGGAGGGTAAAACATTCTGTAGTGCTACAGAAAACAAATCTTGGATACTGAGCTTGTAGCTACCTAATTCTGGGATGCTGGATGTGGCAAAGTAAACATAACAGCAACAACATAAAAGTAGTTTTACTAGAAACTTTGTTTTTTCTTTCTTTTCTTTTTTTTTTTTTAATCCTGCAATTGTGGTTATTGTGGCAGAGCAGAACTGATCAGGAGTATGGGGGTTTCTTCAAGGGGAAGCAAAGCCCTGATGCTGACAGGCATTTCTCCCAAGAGGCTACTATCACCATGTAGGTCAGGTGCTCTGTTCCAGATGGGTAAAACTGGAGTCCAGAATTAAAAGAAAAGAAAAAAAGGTATACATCCTTGAGAGAGCTACTGCGCAGATCTCTTCTAAAGAAAAATTCTTTCCAGTGACAAAATTGAAACAAAATGCATAAAGTTGCTACTGTTTTCCATATGTCCCTGTATTGTCTCTGACAAATGCCACCAGCCTTTTCCATCACAGTACTACCTCAGTATTATGTATTCCTTCCAGACAGGTGTGGAGGTTTTGTTTGTTTGCTTCTTTGTTTTGTTGCTGTTTTGTTTTTGTTACAAACAAAGCAGGATGATCTTGCTTCTTCAGTCTTGAAGCACCTGTGTTGAAATCTCTAAATGCAGGTAAAGACATATCACATAATCATGATTTTAAAGAAAAACTAAGTTTTGTAAGATTGTTATAAATGAAGCTTCTGATTGGTAATATTGCAAATAATGCTTCCCAAACTTCTACAACAGCAGTGGCAAATGTTCATGTAGAAAAGTAGCATGAACAAAGCTTTAAACACATTCAATATCTTCAAAAATCCAGTTGCAGTTTCCATTCTTGATCTCCTGTTTTCTCTCCCCCTTCTACTTCTGTTTCAGAGCTGATAAAGAGAAAAGGCTTTATTTCCTTTCTTCTGCTCCCCTCATGATTCACACATTTCCATGCTACCTGGCCCTTATTTGCTTGCGCTCTTCCTTGCTCTCCTGGTTATGGTGTCTGAAAGTGGCTCACATTTCCTCTCCTTCCACTGTTATGTAGCACTGTACACTAATGGCTACCAATGGGCTATCTGCTGCTTGTTTGCAGCTGGCTTTGCAGCCCTCCAGGCTGTTCTTTGGAGCCTGTTTTCATCAAAACCACAAGAAAGTGGGCAGCCCTTTGCAGACTGCCAGCAGCTGTTTCATGGACCTGTTAACATGCTGCTGATGCCTCTTTGATGCTCAGTTTGTGGAGTGACTGGTAATGGCCATATCCCTCTTCCTCCATACTGCTCCAGAAAAGGGTAAGGGAAGGAAAGCACTCAAATTACTCTAACTTCAGGTTTGTATTTGGTGTATTTCAGTGTCCCAGCCAACTTTTGTGGAGCACTTCTGTGAGAACTGTTTAGGTCTTTTAGGAATGGCTTTTGAAACATTACCTGCAACTACGGATGGCTATACGTGTGTATTTAGTCACTCTGGGTCACGTCTCCTCCTGCAATGCCATTAGCTTGTTTGATGTGAGTGGTTAGCTTTGTTTTCTGACGTGACCTTAGAAGTGCCTTGAGCCTTTTGCTGTACTGCAATGCTGACTCCAAAATGATGTTTGAATGCATGGAAAAAGTGCTGCCTCAGTAATGTTAGTTTGGTATGCTCCTGTAAGATGCAGAGGAGATACAGAATGATCACAGCATGTTTACATAGACACATGACATACGGGATTTACATTTTGTAGCACAGAAGATCTTTCAGCTTACTGCAGAACAGATGAGCTGGGCTTCAAAGAGCTTTAAATAAGCTGCTCAGAAGAGAGTGGGGAGTTACTGTTAGGTTTTTCAAGTATTGTGACTGTGCAGTCTGTTGATGGCTGTTAGAGACGAGTTTGCTGCCAGCATGCTGGCTAGGAGCAGTGGGAGCTGGTAGTCCTGTGCAGCAGCCATGTACGGTGGATCTACTGCACCCTTTGTGCTTAGATGGGTTCTTGTAGTCTGGGGATGTGTTCTTGCAGAGCCTGCCCTTTGCAAGCCCCATGCCGTTGTTTGCCCAACGCAAGCTGAACCTGGGCACCATGGTAGTGTTATGAGTTTCTGAGGTTCTAGGTAGGCTGGGTTGCATCAGCAGGGCTCTGCCTTCCTTCAGTGGAGCTCAGACTGGGCTGTGGGTAAGCCCAGCCATGGTAACATGTCTCTGCTGGCTTCAGCACGGGATGGAGGTCATGTGGAAGACAGTGCTCAGTTTCTCTTGCCTTTTGAAATGGTGGGGTTTGGGCCTGGCAGCACTCTTCTTCCTTTTTCTTCCTTTAGGAGCTCTTTTTTACTTCCTTTAGAGATAAACTATGTATTTAACAGAATTTATTTATACTTCAACAAACAAAGAAAGAAAAGCAACCCATCTTTCAGAAAATTGCTCTGGAGCCAGAAGAGTCTGTTGTCTCCTCTGAGATGCATGGGTTGTGCTTGGGAGTTTGGACGCTTTTTCATCACAGTCATATTTGAAGACAAAAGCTTAGGATAAATATTATGGTGTTTTGTTGATGGCAAATATGGTAGTGGTCATGATCATGAAGCAGAGGGGATTTCTTGCATAATACATTTGACATTGCTGGAAGGGACCACGGCTTGCAGTCTAGTACAGCATGCTTGTACATGATCCCAGGAAATAACATTTGGAAAGGCGATTCTTCCATGATCCAGTTACCCCCGTGAGTACAAATTAAAAGTCTTTAGAGAGGTATAGTTATTTCTCCAATTTTAACCTGGATATGTACTATGATGGGCAGCCAATGGATGAGATGTCCTTGTGCTGGTGTATGGGTGCCTGTAGCACCAGCTGAACTCAGCTTTGTTGTTTTTTGTTTCCCAAATGACCATACAGTAATAGCTTTATGCTCCACAGCATATCTGAAGATGTAAATTTTAGCTGTCCTTACCCAAGGAGAGCGGTGGTTAACAAACCACCAATAAGACTGAGAATGTTCAAACATCTTAAAATTGATGTAAAATGGTAAATATGAATCGCTGCATCATCAGCTGAACTTTGTTCACTTCTTTATTAGTTTTCTAGGCATTTAGGCAAGCTTTCCATTTTGCAGTCCACTAATACTTTCAAAGCTTTCGTGCTGATTTTGCTTAATGTCTGATACTGGTATTTCAAGTTCTAGCTATGTATTTTTGATCAGTCAGCTTAATATACATGCTTTCTCCATTAATTAGATTTACATTAATGTTATTTTATCTTTTTCTGTTTCAGAGTTGACTCTGTATTGCTACAGAGACCCGCAATGGGAGCGTGCAGTTTTCTGTTGAAAAATTCTCTCAAGAGCTCATGATTTTTTTCCATCTCTCCTCTTAACATTTCTACTACTCCGCAGACATGGCTCACCACGCAAGGCCTTCCAGATTAGCCAAAAAGGAAGAGATAGGCAAAAAGAAAACTAACCAGGGTAAAAAGAAATCTAGCCAAGTGAGAAAGAAAACCACAAAGACTTCCACAAAAGCTGTTAGTTCTGGAAAAGGCAAAAAGCCGGCACAAGAAAAAGATGTTAAGAAAAAGCAGCAAGAAAAGAAACCAATCATGAGCTCTTCAGGTAGATTTCTCAGGAGCAGTGTCACCAGAACCTTGTCTGGAACACCTTGGGTGAGTTTGGAGAAAGCTGACAATATCCTCTTTCATAGCCAGGAAGCTTTCAACATCAATGGTTTTACAATGTCTCTTCGTAACCGATCATTCTCCCGTAGATTTTCTCAAGCTCCAACAATTGCAAAACCCAGAAAAGCTGCAGCACAAAAAAAGCTAGAAACAAAGGAAAAACATGAACAAGCTCTGGCAGTAGTAGAAGACAAAAATGTTGAAGCATCTGAAAATGTGTTGGAACAGAATTTAGCACAAGATGAATTAGCTTCTCTGCCTGTAGAGGATATTCCGTGCAGTGTAGATGAAGAGCCTGCTGCCATGTGTGCTGGTCAAGAAGAGGAGGGAGAAATACCTGAAATGAAGAACTCTGTTCCAAGCACCCAAGTGACTGATGATAATACAGCAGAGTCAGAGGTGGAGTATGAGCACGAAGACCTGCCCTGTGAGCAGACGCTCATTGATCTCAATGCAAGTAGTGCAGCTGAAGCATCTGCTGAAGATGCTGCATTGGTGCTTCTGTCTTCTGATTCCATAACCACCTCTGAATCAAACTCAAAGGTGTGTATAGAGACTCCCTTCGACCTGGTGCCTAACAATAAAGAACCTGACTCTGATTCTATTGATACCTCAGACCCCAGTTCAGCTGTGCTGTTAGAAGAGTTGGTCCCACTTGCTGAATCCCACACTGAAGCAGAGTCAGACCTGGTGCTAGCCAGTGAAGAATGCTACTCAAATTCTGCACCCACAGTTACCTCTGAGTTAAATTCACAAGAATGTTTAGAAGATTTGAGCTCATTTTCAGAGTCCTGCATAAAAGCAGATGGGAATTTGAAGTCTGAGAATGAAGATCTTGGTTCACATGAAGCTGCCACTGGAGCAAATTCACTTTTACATTTTGAAAGTGTAAGTTCACTTGTGGAATCTGACATGAAACTCGTGGATTTTATGCCCATTCACAGAGAGATTGACTCATGTTCAGATCTGAGCTGTACAGTAGGGAATACAGAATCAGACTCAAAAAACATATTTACAGTAAGCGAACCAGTTTCCGATACCTCTTTAACCAATATTGAAGTGGAGGATATTGAACAGTTTGTTACATGTATTGATGCAGAGACATTAATTTTGAATTCAGGTTATGTCCCCGCTTTATCATCAGATATAGAAAAACGAGCAGTCGATGAACTCTCCAGTGAGAGTTCCAGAAAATTCTCTGAAGGTTTTGTTTCAGAGTTGCCTTCAAGCACAGAAATCTCTGTTCTTGCCTTAGAAAAAGCCATAAATGCAGATTTGCCAGTTGATTCGAGACTGCAGCAGAATGATTATTCATCACAGCTGGAAAGTGTTGGGATAAGCTTGAATTTGGTTCAGGACAACGTGAGCAACAGCACTCAAACAGTTGAGGCCTCAGGGCCATCCTCTCTTACAAATCCGGCTGGCAGTCACCCTCTTGCATATTCATCTCTGCTCCCTGTGTTAGAGAAAAAGAAACGAAGGCGTTGTGGAGTCTGTGAGCCCTGTCTGCGGAAAACAAATTGTGAAGAATGCAGCTGTTGCAGGAAGCGCAAAACCAGTCACCGGATATGTAAAAAGAGAAAATGTGAAGAACTGAAAAAGCCGCCGCCACCAATCACACTACCTCTTGAGGTAAGCCAGAAAAGTCTCAAATTAAGTCACGATTTGGAGGATTGAGGTATATCTGAAAACACTGCAGAGGGGGGTTGTTGTACAGATTTAGAGAACTTAGGGTTTCTTTTGGAGCTAGCAAGTTACATTGACTTGCTATGCAGAGATGCGTACAAGTGAACTAGAGTTACTAGTTACTAGAGGAGAAAAAAAAAAAAGAGAGGCAAGATTGGCTTTAACTTTGTGTTCCAAATACCGGTGTACTGGCTACAGCAATTGAGGGCATGAAAAGGTGAGAAGGATTTAAGTACAAAATGTGAGGAGTGGGGAAATGAGGGGATAGTCTTAGGATACCCTAAGTTCTTAGGGAAAGGGCTTGTGTTTCAAAATAGCTAAGAAAAAGAAGGTAAAAGGTAGAAGAAGGAAGGCTGTGTGCTCTTTAAAGTGATTTGCTTGCGATTACACATTTGGTAGAAACAAATCAATAAACTTCAGGATAGGATTAGAGCTGCCTTTTTCCCCTTTCACATCTCTCTGCCTTTCTAACTGTCTGTTCTTCTGTTTCTTTCATTTCATTTTTCCCGCCTCTCTTACTTTGTATATCTTACCACATATTCCCCACGTATTCTCCTTCTGTTCCTTACTCATTTTTCTGATCCATAAGTGTTTTATAACCCAGGTCATTACTTTTGGACCAAAGATGAGGGGAAAAGACATTCTGTATGCCCTTGTGATAACAGCCCTGGCCTTCTGAGAGATTTCAGTTCAAGATCAGGCTTTAAATCAGGTAAGTAGGGAATTGAACACAGATTTCCCATATCCCAGCTGAATTCCCTGACCTCTGAGCTGCAGTGTTAGCCTCTGCCTGCTCCTGGAAGTTCATATGGTTGAACAGAGACTGAGCCGTGGAGAGGGAGATGCTGTCGCAGTTGTTAAGTTGCTGGGACATTTGCCTTGGGATGTGGGAAACTCGGGTTCAAGTCTCTGCACCAGCATGTGCTCTGTGCTCTCTGAGCAGTTCACACTGCAGGGAATGCACCTGCAAAATATTTCTGAACAGCAGCTTCATTAAAACAGTGTGTTCTTAAAACAGATAGAAATCCCAGTTTGCTGCGGAGCTCTCAGGAGACCTCCTGTTTCCAGCCCTCTGTCCGGTACTTGCTAAGGTTTGCAGATGTGCCTGTTCTGTTTTCACAGTAGGCAGGCAAAGAGAAGAGTCCCATAGCAGTGAAGAGTTATGATATGTGTACAGGCTTTGGGCAGGAAGTGTATTTTAAATTAAAATGCTTAGAGAAGAAGGTTTAACAGGTGGGCTTACAGTTCATTAAAAATCCTTTACGTCTCGACTGCTCATAGAGAGTGAAGTGAGTGAAGGGACAACTAACACGTGACTTGAAGATGTAATTGAGCAATAAAGGTGATAGAGACTGATGCTGACTTCTTGCAGAAAGAGAGTAGCAACATTAAAACCTTGTTGGCTAAACACTGGCTAAACAAGGTTTAGCCAATGGAGCTAAAGAAGCTTGTGGAAGAGAATTGATGGAACTGATGTAGGAAGTGATTGAAAAGCCATGATTTAGAAAAGGTTTTGGCAGGGTCAATGAAAGAAGCACTCCAGCTTTTCTGTCAACCTTTGTTTTCCAGGCTAAATGTTCTTCTTTTATTGTTGCTCAGTCTGACCTTCTCCTTGCAGATATGCTTTGCCCCTTCACCTCTTTCCTCTTCAGGCACTCCTTTTTCTTTCTTTACGAGGAATTTCTTGTTTATATTCCTTTGGCAGTTTATTTCTTGTGTGCTTTTGTTTTATTAAATTGGTCACATTTTGTTCAATGCATTTAGAGCTGCACCAGAGGCCTCTTTCATTACTTGTTAAATTTTGTATGAACTTTGAATACTGCATAGAGGAAATGAAGTATTCCTGACATTTAACAACATGTCAGGTATTTTCTCATAAAACTGTATTTGAATGAAACCTGGTGCCTGTTCAGATGTTCCTAGGAGCAAGTCTGGTCTCTCATATTCTATAGAAGCACCGCTCAGAGGAAAATGAAAGAGGAAACTATTTCTGCAGCGTGTGTGTTGCGAGAGTGCTTTGAAAATGTTGAGATATAGGGGGTGATGTGGGGGGATGGGAAGCACTGCGCAGGCAGCTATCCTTCAGATAAGACTTTAGCACTCTGAAAGGGAATCCCGTTGTGTTTTCTCAGACCAAGATGAGGTTGGGACTACAGCAGTTGAGATTTCCGTGCCAGCAATGTGTCACAAATAGAGGGCAGCTGGGGAAAAAGTCTGTAGGTCTCTGTCCATGGTATAGAAAGGGAACAAAGCAATTAAAGAGAAAATAGGTTGGCTTCAGTGCATTCCTCGTTTGGAGGAGCTGTGCGTCTCTGTCTCGTGTTGGTGGAATGTAAGCATTTTTTAGAGGTGATTCACTGGGAGGAGGGTGTAAGGGGATAGACGTTCTCCGCGTGAGCATAGTTTAAACATTGATGTTTTGCCTTAAAGGGAATTATTTCTTTTGACTTTAACTAAACAATGCAGAAGTCGGCAAAGTGGATGAGAGCTGTGTGTTGAATGGCTCTAGGACAGCTGGTGCAGGGGTTCAAAAGTCCCTGCGTGCCGCTTTAAAAAGAAAAAGAAGCTTTTTAAAGAATAACAGCCACATAAACCTTAAGTGATATGTTACCGTGCTACCTTGTTGAATGGAATGGATTTTTCCGGGATTCAATGTGGGGAAGGTCCAGAATGGCAGTGCTGCTTCTCCAGCAGCACTACTGCAGGGAGCCTTGCTTAGGCATGGGTGGAGAAAATGACCTGCAGTATATAGGTAAAATGGTTGGGCGTCACTGCTTTCTGGGGGAGCAGCCAGGTAAGTGAGAGGTGACAGTAGGCATTGAAAAGGAGAGGAAAAAGGTTTTATGCTGCATTATCGACCCACTTTGGGTGAATAATGCAGGAACACTCCGCAGTGAAAAGAGCATTTTGACAAGTTCCACCTACACAGGAGTGTGGAAATTCTACATTTTCTCTTGTCTCCAAGACTGCCGTGTTCTGCAATAACATGGTACTTGCTGGAGGCTGTTTTGCAGCTATTTTCTACCAAAAAGCGCATTTTATCTCAAGAGGTGGTCTGGTTTGCTGCTATTGCACCATCGTGCACACCTTGGCAGTGTGGATAGGTTGCAGGTCAGGGCTCGGTAGGTTGCAAAAGCACCATAGGAGGGTGGTGCGGAATTTGTATTGCTTTCTCCTGGGGAAGAAGCATTAGCAGGGGCCGGCATTGCTGAGGTGCCTGCATTTTGGGGCTGCACCTGGGCGGGAGCCCTGTCCCACTGCCAGCCTCTCCTGGGGAGTTTGTCTGCACGTGGGTGACAGCGATGGCCCCGGGAGGCTCCGTGGGACCTGGCCTCACACTGGTGCTCTGAGACATCTCATACAGCGGCAATAATCTGAGAAATGGGGAAATATGGAACAACGATACGGCCTGTTTCCTTCTGAGTTTTAACGTGCCGCCCAAAGCCCAGGCGTATTTAAGGAGCGTGCTGCAATTAGGGGAGGCTGGGAGCTTTCCAGCAGCCGCTCTTCTGTTTTGAATGGGAAATGCTGATTTAATGGAGAGCCCCGCAGCTGCTCTCTGTCTGGGCTGAGCCGTTTGGGGAAAGCTTCTCGGGGCCGACGTGAGATTCCGCTTGAACCCCACCGAGGGCAGAGGGCCGTGCTGGCTGGGGCGCGGTGCACCTGAGCTGCAGGACCGGGCGCTCCCCTTCTGCGTAGATGCAGTTAAAGCCCCTCAGCGGCGCGGCATGGGCTCCCCACCCCGCCCCTCCCTCACGGTCGGCCGCGTGCACGCGCCGCGCGGGGGCCGTGTCCTCGCCTGACCCTGCGTGCCGCAGCCCTCGCGGGGGCCGCGCCCGGGCCCTCGCGACCCGCCGTGCGCGCGCCGAGGCGGGGGCGCGCGGGGGCGGCGCCGGCTCCGTGTCCGCGCCGCGTCTTGCCGGCGGCCGCCCGTACAGCAGCCCCTTTGTCCGGACGGGGCCGGCGCGAGCGCGAGGGAGGCCGCGGGGGGGCGCTGCGGTGCCGCGGCGTCCCATTGGCTGGGCCGGACATAGGCTTCGGGCGCGCGCGGCGCGCGGCCTCTTGAGGGGGCGGGGGGGGGCGAGCGCCGCCGATCCCGCGGCTCGTGCCCGCGCCGCCGCGAGGGGAGGGGAGAGCTCCGCTGCGGCAGGAAGCAAGATGGCCGCCTGGTGGGCGCCGCCGTGAGGAATGCGGGGCACCAGCGAGGTCGGCTCCGGGGGGGCGGCGGGGCCTCTCCCCTCTGCCGTCTCCGGCGTCGCCGCGTGTCGGGGTGGCGGCGGAGGGGCCGCGTAGAGCCGACGCCGGCCCGCCGAGGTGCCGCATGTGAAGCACTCGGGTATTTGAGAAATATTGCAGTTCGATAATAAAACTGGAGGCGTCTGCTTTTGTGACCACCGCTTATTCTGCAATTTGATGTTTTTTTAGGTTCTAACTGAAAACAAAAGACCTCAGAGGAGGAAGCAAAGAGTTTTTAAGGTAACCGATGATTGCTTTAATATTTCTCCCTCACGTTAAGCGGCGTTTGTCGTCACGTACAGCAGGAGATCGAGGGTTACGCGCTGGGACGCGGCGCTTCCAGCCCTTCAGCGGCTTAGCTAATTTTAACGGCACAGAACATTTTCTTTTTTTTGCCTTTCCCTGTCCCCCCTCCCCCCATCCCCCATCCCAGCATGTTGCACACACACCGGAGCCTCTATGCGCGGGGCGCTGCGGCCGGGACGTTGGCTTCCCATTGTGCTGTGAGCCGATTCGCCCTCCGTGTTCCTTCCCCACTTGCAGAAGTACCGGCTGAATGCTGGGGGTGTTCAGCGTTCGGATCGGAGGGCGAGGAGTCTTTGCTATCACGTAAACTGAATTAATGGCATAGGAAGCTTCATGCTTCAGTTACGGTGGTTTTGATTTCCTTTTTTCTTTAAACTTTAGAATGCCTCAAGTGAAACTGAAAATTCTATAAACTTACTGGGGCCTTCGGTTCACGTGGTAAGGTTTCGGCAGGGCTCTTAAGATGGCTATCTTGCATAGTAACAAAAGATTGGTGCTTCAACTCAACTGTTTCAGCTTGTTGTAACAAAATATGAGTGTACTACACTTGTGCCTAACAGGTAGCAGATTCCTACTGCATTTCTCAGTTTGCTTTTATTCTGTGTAGAAATAAGTTCCGATTTCTGTTCTTTCAAACTAAAATACGAAGGGGTGGATGCTGAAACTGTGAAAAGAAGCTAAAGAAAATGAGAAGTATGTGATGTTTTTGAACTTACTTGACAATTTTTTTCTTGACACAGAGTGCAGCTGAACGGGATCTAAGTTAGTTTAGCATTGTTTCAGTACAGAAACATTTCAGAAATTGTTGGTCGTGGTGAATGTGATAAATGCTGAATGCAGTGTGATTTTATTTGAAATCATCACGACTCCATAGCAGCTTTGTCTTCACTGTTACACGTCAGAGAAACTTGCTCAGTGGAGTCCTAAGTTTGTAAGACAAAGTTAAGTAAAAAGTTAAGAATAAGTAAGGAGAAAATAAGCTTTCTTGGCTTGCAAGTGTGTCTGACCTCTGTGTGTCTCTCTGTGGGTGTAGCTGTGCAAACCATCTCCCCATGTGCCTACAGGAATGGTGACTGTACAGCAATAATAAGCGTTCTTCTTTATAACACTTATTAATCCATGACATTTAAATATTTCATTAAGTCACAGATGTGCTCTTAATTGCTTAATTTTAGTGACTGCCTCTTCTGCAGGATAGTACACAGATGTAGTTAAAACTTCAGCATTTGTTCATTTTGTGCAGTTAAAAAGATAGTGTGTGAAATAAAAACTTCTTGTAAACCAGTCATTCTGTTTTGCAGTGTGGAATTGGTGTACACTTGTAAAAGTAGGAGGCATCTTTCTGTCTTAGGTATATCTGTTGTGTTAGATGTCTTTCCGCAGTCAGGGTTCATAGTGAGTCTTCACATTTTCTCTTGAACTTATTTTACCACTGTTTCTTGTTTGATGGCAGGGGAAGTTGCTATGTAATATGATGCTGTCATTCCTATCCTTTCCAAAAAGCCTTCTGAACAGTTTTTGGTGTTTTTTTTTTTTTTTTCTTGGCTCTTAAATGGAAAAAGGCTCGTCTGTTTTTGTGTGTGTGCATAGTATCATATGTTAGTCATTGGACTTGTGTTTATTTCTGGTTTGACTTTTCCTATGCTGAATTGATTCTGCAGTGCTTCTTTCCCCTTTGGTTTTAGAATGTCCTTTCAGTTTGCTGGTATTTTGTCTTGTGGTGCTGAATCGTATTGGCTGAGTTGATTCACTTGCGTGCACCAAGTAGGGCATGGTACCCCTGAAGGCATCTCATGGAAGAGGTTGGGTTGGTGCTGGGGAGGTTTTGCTTTGTTTTTGGTGGGGTGGGTCAGTCATGTTAAATTAGGTTGCATTTCTGTCTACTGCAGGAAACTTCAGAAACCCCAGAAAGCTTCACCATTTACAGTCTTCTTCACAATGGCACTTTAGAAATATGACGTTCTGGTGTATGACTGGCCTGCCTTATTGGTGGGACTGCTGTGTGGAGTGGTGCTCTATCTACTGAATTATAACCTCAGTCTTTGTTTTAACGGTCAGGGGTGGTCGAGTGAAGCTAAGCAGTGACATGTCAAAAAAAATTAATAGATGTTTTGAATTATTGTTAATATTTTTTCATTGTTTCACTGGGGTTTTAATTGTGTTTTGCTTCAAAAAAGGATTGTAGACTTTCTTAAAGAGGAATGTGTAGCACTGTGCTCCAGTGATAGGTGGAGTTTGTATTTTTCCAGTCATCCTAAGTTTGTATAGATGCACATTTATTTATTTGAGGAGTTAGCAGTTCCTCTAATTATACTTCTACGAACCAGCGTATTTATGAATTCTTCTGCACCAGGTTAAAATAAGCAATGCTTTCCTGTTGAAAACAAAGTTTGACAGGTACAAACATTATAAACAAAAGTGACAAATACTGTTATATTGTAGCTTTTATTAACTGTTTTCTCATGTTGGTGAAAAGCATTCATGCACTGCTTTTTCCTAGCTATTGAAAGAGAAGTCATTTAGGAAATTCTGTGCCACACTTAGTGCCATAAAACTGTGCTTTGTTCTCCATGCTTATTTTGAAAGGATGTCCAAAATATGCATCTCTTTTAGTGAGCAAATGGTTTTTGAAGAAAGAGTCATCATGAGTTCATAGAAATAGATAACAAAGAAGGAGCACTCATGGTTTTTGTTCCAAATTATCTTGTATGTTATCCCTAGTTAAGCAGAAACTTCTTACATTTTATCACTGATAATGGAAAATCTAGAAAGAAGGGATTGGTACTTAAGAATTTGCCTGCCTGCATTTCAGAAGGCATGTTGTGCATCCTGCTTCATTCTCCCTTTAGCAGTGCACTCCCTCAATTTGGGCAGTGCAGCACACCTCTTCTTAACAATGTTGACGGTCACGTGCAAATTTATAAATGCAGCTTGGGCAAACAGGACAGTTGAAGAAGGCATCGCGTTGTCAAGGAGATCAAATAGCAGTAGCACCAGTAAGGAAGCTGCCTCCAGGTCAAGATATAGCTGATGAAGAGGCACAGTCTGTGGTCTTTCCAGTAGGCTCTGGGGAGCTACGGCCGCCATTTGGATGGCTGCAGATGTTTGCTGCATTCATGGAGTTTTTAAAAACCAACCAACAAACTGAAAGGGGGGAAAAAAAGACTGAAGAGAGAAATCCACAGTAGTACATGCAGTGCTGAGTGAGTATTGTGACTGCATGTGCCCATTCTTTGTTCTCTGCCTGATTCAGTTTGTGTGTTTATGCATAAACACTGTAGTGGTGATCTGTGTACAAGGAAAGTGCAGACAACACCTGCAAAACTCTAAAATCAACTTGGTTTAAGTCAAACCAAGAGCAAGAGCTTAGTTAATATCTAGAACTTTGGGTTTGTTGGTAAACCTTGTGCTTAAGAGCTAGTGGGAGTCTCATTTCCATCAAAGCTACAAATACATACTTGAGCACCTTCTTTGATTTTTCTCCTGGATGTGTACAAAGCATGGTATTTCATATCAAAAACAATGTTCAGATATGAAGTTGCTGTTAGCCCTTTTTAAAGTGTGGTTTGTTTTGCTGCTTACATTGCACTATTTCAACCTAATGTATGTGTTAACAAAAGTTAAGAGAAGCAACTCCAATGTGCACGCTAGTGCTTTGAATGAGCATGACTTGAATGGATTTTTTAATATCTAAATGTAATTTTTTTTTAGCACAAAATGCCTGCCAGAATATTTAGCTGGAAGTAATTCAACTTTTTTTTTTCTTTTTTAAAATAAGATATCAACAAGTCAGTGGATGAAATTGCAGTGCTGTGGAATTTGACAGAGGAAGAAGACAGAATAATGGGAGTTGGAAGGGATGTTGTACAGAAGACATGCTTTGTGTTTTTTAAAGGAACTTAATCATCTTGGAACGTACTCATTTGGAAAATACCAATTAAAATTGCTTTGAGTACTGGTTGGATATATCTGCCTACTCCTGTGCCTTATTGCTCCCTTTTCCATAGGGAGTTTGCTTTTGGCACATGAATAGCTTACACAAATTATCCAACTCTTACTTTTAGAACTGCAGTAACTAAGGAGTAGCTCAGCAGTTGAATGCTTTTAATTTTGAAATAATTTGTTTCACAAATGGTACCTAAATTATTATTTTTAAGGACCTTTTTGATAGCTGGATGTGTGTCTAAATGGAATTAATATTTTTTTTTGTTGTGCTTAATAGGCTCGTGTACCTCAGGTGAAGTAAGCAGGCATGATTGTGGTAATAAATTACCACAGTTTGTGCAGTCTCCCGTGCTTCCTCATGAGTAACTGTATTTCCTCTGTATGGTACCATTAAGACTTCACCTGTACACAGACATTTTTTTGAATGGAATCTTAAGAAAGAAGGTCTTTTGTAAATGGTCTGTAAATTCGTTATCTTACTCCATGTCTTGGGGGGAGGGGAGAGGGTGAAGCCAGTCCCTGTGGTGCTGATGGGGCTGAGCAGGATGCAGAGATGCTCTTCTTCTCTTACAGCCCCTGTCCTACAGAGCTCCCTGTCAGTGCTACTTCCTCTCCTTCCCAGAATTGAAAGCATCCTCCAACTCCTTGCTGGCTGCATGAAGCAGCTGTGGGGCTAGTAACGCTCCTCTGCTTGCTCAGGGAATGCTGGAGGCAGAGGCACAGTGAGGCTGGGCCAGGTAGAGCCTGGTTGTTAGTGTTGGGAGTTGCATGTGCTTTGAATCACTATTTGTTTAGATCTTGCTTGTTGCTATGTGTGGGATGCTGAAAGTTTCACTGTGTTGAATTTAGAGGAAAGAGCTTCTTTAGAATGCCTGTGATCAAAAATGTTAGTATCAGTGAAGTAACGTTTGTGGGAAGGAAGAAAATTGTGTCAGCGTGTGCAAGTAGGGCAGGTTTATAGGTATGTCTGAGCATAGTTTAGATATTTC